GAAGGAAGGAAGAAGGGAAGGGAAGGAAAGAAGAAAGGGAGAAAAGGTATGAAACAAATAGGAAAGGGAAAGAAAAAAGGAAGAAAGGAAGGAAAGAAGAAAGGGAGAAAAGGTATGAAACAAATAGGAAAGGGAAAGAAAAAAGGAAGAAAGGAAGGAAAGAAGAAAGGAAGAAAAGGAAAGTAGGAAATAGGAAAAGGAAAGAAGGAAGGAAGGAAGGAAAGAAGGGAAGAAGGAAAGGAAGGGTGAATGAAAGAATGAAGAAAAGGAAAGAAGGAAGAAAAGGAAAGAAGGAAGGAAGAAAAGGAAAGAAGGAAAGGAAGGAAGGGAAGAAGAAAGGAAGAAAAGGAAAGTAGGAAATAGGAAAAGGAAAGAAGGAAGGAAGGAAGGAAAGAAGGGAAGAAGGAAAGGAAGGGTGAATGAAAGAATGAAGAAAAGGAAATAAGGAAGGAAGAAAAAGAAAGAAGGAAGGGAGAAAAGGAAAGAAGGAAAGGAAGGGAAGAAGGAAGGAAGGACTTCTATGAAGTATTTAATCATTTTTAATCTTTCATTCTATCCCATAAAATACTGGATTTTCCCAATTCCCCCCACAATAGGTGACAGCTTAGAATCTGTTTACAGAGAATCAGGAAAAGGCCGGTCATTTGGAAGGCGACCAAAGCATTACTTTTATTTCCTTTGACAACATTCTGATCTTTAAACCGCTACGGGGGTTTATATGCTGCATCTGTATCCATCTGCCGCCGCGACTCTTTTTTTAAAAAGGAAAGGGGAAAACAAAGATATTGAAAAAAAAAAAACAACAACGGGGAGGATAAGCGGCCGCTCAGCAGCGCAAACTTATGTTTTGGGAAAGAAGGAAGGTGCCGGCTGAGGTCAGCGGGACTAACTCTCCAGAACGCGCAAGATTATAGCTCAAGACAGTCAGGGCATATACAATGCTTCCTTACTTGAGAGTAAAATTCATTTAAACTCAATGGGATTATTTCACCAGCACTGATGGTCGTCTCAAAGTTGCTCCCCCCCCCCCGCCCCGGCTAAGAGGCAAACTCTAGTTGCCTTTTGAAAAAACGCATCTTTGGGACAACCATGACTTGGATGACCAAGAACCTTCATAGCCATGGAGCACTGATGATGTTACCTAGTTTGGGTAGTGAAACGTCTGCAAGAAAAGAAAAGAAAGTTTAGAGAGCACCAAACAACCCCTCAATTATAACTGAGCATTTTTGGTATTTTAAAAAAACCACTTATCAATAATTCGGGGGCGGGGGAAGAAATAGAGAAAGAACCCCCCCCCCCCAAATTATCCTGCCATACTGGCCAAGGATTTAGAGTTTCACCACTTCCGAATGAAAAATCGGTTGAGATGGGTTTATTTCCCACTCATTCCGTCAGCTTTATTCCAAAATAGAGGAGTCATCCCCCCCCCCAAACACAAGCAATGCAAAGCCAAATCCCCACCACCACCACAAAAAAACGGCGAAATTGGGAACGGCTATCCTGAGTCCATTTTTCCCCGAACCAGCCCAAGAAGCAGATACTTGCTTCCTCACCCCTTCCCCAAGACCCGTTCAAATTATCGGGAAGAATAATCGAGGATTAAAACGTAAGAGCACGGGGAGTAGATCTCCCCCCCCCTCCCCGCAAGCCCGTAGTTGCGATCCTATAGATAAAACTTGCATGGACGTAAGCTCCACCGAAAAATCAAAATTGCCCTTTGAAGGTGCAAAAAGGCGGGATTGCGCAGGCAGGAATCGGCGGGTCAGAAGTCCAGCCGCGGCCAGGGCCGTCCCCACGTAGCACGGGACACGCCTGTAGATGAACGAGCTGTTCTTTTCTCGATAGCTGGGGGTTGGGGGGGTGTCTTTAGCGAAGACCCGGGTCCTTTATTTGGTCTGGGCGCCAAACCGCGCTCTCTAAGTTCCAGGACGTCCCCGACGGGATCCGGCAAGCAAGGAAGCGCTTCTACAGGGCGCAGAGCCGCAAACGCGCGTCTTTACAGAGGCCGGGATGGGCAGGAGTGCTTTCCTTTCGAAAAGGAAGAGGAAGTCGCGCCGAGAAAAAGGAGAGCGTTCAGGGGGTCGAAACAGCAATAATAGTAATACTAATAGTAATAGTCAATGGTGCTTGTGGCACATCTTTAAATGTTCAGTTGACTGAGTTCCATGTTTAATGACTAAAGTAAACCACCACCACAACAACACATACAGAAATGGCAGTTTCCTGCAATAACACCAGCGGAACCAGAAAAAACATGCGCTACTCGGAACATCATATATTTTAAGAAGATACTTCTTAATATATTATATATATTGATACCTAGAATTCTTAATATATTATATATGTTAATATATTTTTTACTTCTTAATATACATATCTTATATATATTATTTTATATATATATATAATCGGTGACGAGCTGATTGACAGATAATGGAAGCTGTTAGCTTCCTCCCATAATTGGGACTTACCAGGGGTTGTGACACTATATCTATCTATCTATTTATCTATCTATCTATCTATCTATCTATCTATCTATCTATCTATCTATCTAT